TAGTAAGAATATCGTCGATATTGGTCGCAGTCGTGAGATATAGTAAGAATATCGCCGATATTGGTCCCAGTTGTGAAATATAGTAAGAATATCGCCGATGTTGGTCCCAGTCGTGAGATATAGTAAGAATATCGTCGATGTTGGTCCCAGTCGTGAGATATAGTAAGAATATCGTCGATATTGGTCCCAGTCGTGAGATATAGTAAGAATATCGTCGATGTTGGTCCCAGTCGTGAGATATAGTAAGAATATCGTCGATATTGGTCCCAGTCGTGAGATATAGTAAGAATATGGTCGATATTGGTCCCAGTCGTGAGATATAGTAAGAATATCGTCGATATTGGTCCCAGTTGTGATAAATAGTAAGAATATCGTCGATATTGGTCCCAGTCGTGAGATATAGTAAGAATATCGTCGATATTGGTCCCAGTCGTGAGATATAGTAAGAATATGGTCGATATTGGTCCCAGTCGTGAGATATAGTAAGAATATCGTCGATATTGGTCCCAGTTGTGATATATAGTAAGAATATGGTCGATATTGGTCCCAGTCGTGAGATATAGTAAGAATATCGTCGATATTGGTCCCAGTCGTGAGATATAGTAAGAATATCGCCGATGTTGGTCCCAGTCGTGAGATATAGTAAGAATATCGTCGATATTGGTCCCAGTCGTGAGATATAGTAAGAATATCGTCGATATTGGTCCCAGTCGTGAGATATAGTAAGAATATCGCCGATGTTGGTCCCAGTCGTGAGATATAGTAAGAATATCGTCGATATTGGTCCCAGTCGTGAGATATAGTAAGAATATCGCCATGTTGGTCCCAGTCGTGAGATATAATATCGTCGATGTTAAGGGTTCAGACGAGACGGGAATCGTGGATGAGATGAAGTTCTGGCTAAAACTGCAGACTTTCATCATTGAGCCTGAAGACATGAAACCATTGAAAGAATTTTCTATTTGTCACTTTACTTGATAAATTGGGCAAATTTTTTACACGACCAAAATAGTGCACAATGAGTCATATATCTAGAAATTTTACTTGGCTTGATTTAAAGTGTATTATGTTTTTTATGTTGTTTATTGAAAGGGACCACTCCCTGTATATTAGTCAGCGATTATAAAAGGTAATT